GAACAATTCAAGTTGTTAAGTCTAAAGGGATTTAATGGAAAGGTATTATGACAAAAGCCCTATTTTAATTTTTCCTGGATTTTAAACAATATTTCACAGTGAGTCTTAATCACATAGCTCCCTTCCAGACACAAAAGAGCTAAACAAATGAGTCAGGCAGTAACCCACAATGAGGCATAAGTGGGTGTTGTGTAATTGCAAGACAGGTGTATCACCACTCCTGAGTCCGAAAACAATAATATCTCAGTAACAAAGGGTCACAGGCACCAGGAACTCCTGACCACCCCAAACTGTTTGTCATACCCCAGCATATTTATAAATATGAAAAAACCCTGCTTTATAGAGATTTCTCAAACTGAATTATAAAGGGGCCACTTTCTTCATAGCCTCTTCTCTCAACTGCTACTGGCATAGGTATTGGTACTGGTTTGATAAACTAGCATCTGATTGCAGGTAGGAAAGCCCATGAAACAGATCAAATTGGTTTTTGTATTGAATCACCCCTCTTTTTTCAGCAGTCTCCTCTGGGAAAGAATCTCGAGTGTGCAGCATTTAAGATACAGTAGTTAGCAGGTGTTAAGGTACTATCTTTCCAGACTGGTAATGATCACGAATTCCCTTTTGTTTGTGTTTTATGGAGCAACTGACTGAAACAGAGGATTGCTTAGGAGAGAAGACGAGGAGAATGGAAAACTGGTGTGGGAGAGGGATTGAGTGAGGCAGGATAAGAGATAAACAGCAGTCAACAGAAATGGGGAGGCATAGAAGCTATAGAATAATCAAGAAAGTCAGAAGCGAGGAAGAAAAGACTCATAGTATGATTACTGGGAAAATAAAACTTGATTGGAATTCTAGCCCCTCCATTTCCCAGCCCTATAGCCTTGGACAAGTCATTTCACCTCTCGGAGCTTGTTTATTCATACACAAGCGCGGGATTAAAGAGTATCTATTTGGCACAGTTGTTCTGAGGACAAAAAAGTACATGTAGCTGCTCAATAAAATAATAGCTAATATTATTATTATAGTGGTAGTTATTGTTATTTTTGTTAGGGAGAGGAATTACTGTTAGTGACATATAGTTTGACTGCAATGACACACGCACAAACTCAGCCGTAACAGTCAATGATCAGAGCATTGATGAAGGTGACTTCAGCCCTCCACATGCCACTTTTACCAAAAAATGCTGGAGCATCATTGTGCTTGCTAAAGAAAGAATTACATGATATTACTCACATATTAGACATTCAATTGCACACTATTTTTATGTTAAATAACTTCAGCCAATCAAGAAAAAGAAATGCTATACTTTATACACATGACTGGTTTTGCTCATAGCTTTTCCTTTTCCAATTCATTCTAGTATATATTAATAGTATCCAATCTTTATTAATTAGAATATTATGTTGAAAAGACCTGCACCCGATCATAGATGGTATGCGCATCATTTCTCTTCAATTGCTCTCACCTTCTCAAAAGAGTCTAGTAGGTAGATAGCAATTAAATTCCATGAAAGAGTATTTTCACTCTGGTGTTTTGCATTCGAAGTCCATAAGAACACCACCACTGTATCCTGGGGACTATGAGCCTGAGCTACTCTTCTCAACTGGACTTGCAGCAATTCCGGGAGAGCACCAAACAATAGGGCAACAAGCAGACAATAACACCTGAAAGGAAACTCTTCCTTAGAAGAATGAATTATTCAAGGACAACAGGACCGCTGACCCAGTGCAGAACACAACCAATGGCACGGAAGACTCACGAACGTTCTAGGGAATGGGAACGCTAATTCACTCCGTAAACTTTTACCTAAAGCCTAATAAACTTTTTCAAAGAGCAGAAAATTAAAAAAAAAATCAACCTCATTTGGCTTGTTTCCAAATTTTTCTAAATGGGAAAAATACATTTTGGATACTTTTGACTTCACATTCTGTCCTGGAGAGCCTGTCATATTGTTGCATTATCATCCTGAATTGTATTCACGTCCCAATATATAAATATACTGAAAGTGCCCATTTTACTGATTTGAGTTTGGAGTGTTTCCAAATTGAGGCTGATTTGAAGAGTACCCTATGAACTGTGTTGTAACATAGCTTCTGCATGTATTGCTTCTAGGTATCGACCTAGAGTGGAATTTTTGGATGACAGAAAACAGTATGCTCGGTTTAAGTAGATGCCAACAAAAAGTTTTCCAAAGTGATTTCTAGATTTACATGCCTCACAGCACTTCTGTATAGACCTTTAGAAGACACGTGGAATGGACTGTAGGGAAAGACCAACACAGCCCCTGAAAAGCCTGTCAGAGTCAAATTTTCTAAGACATACTGAGTGCCTGTTATGTGTCAGGTTCTGTGCTAGAGACAACAGGAATGAATAGGACAGTTTCTCTACTACACAGGACTTGCAGACTAGAGAACTATAAGCAAATTAGTTCATATAATATAAATACAAGTGCTGGGCCAGGGAGAGGTACTTCAACCCCATCTGAAGTAATAGAGGAGAAACTACTACGGAAAGATCTATAGGAGCTGACAGCTAAGCAGAGTCCTGAAGGATGAGTAGCAGTTAACTACTTAGAGAGGCGGGTGGGAATTCCCAGAACAAGAAATAACGTCATGAGCAGACAGGTGTGAAACTGCATGCATATACGTACATGCACAGGAAAGGACACCCATGTGAATCGAGACAAGGAATGGCAAGATGACACTAAAGAGGTAGTCAGGACAAAGTCATGAAAAGCTGTGTATGACAATGGGAATACTACATCCCAAACTAGTGAATAAACAAAACCACAAGATAGTATCCTATCTAAAACATCTGTTTTAAATCTGATGTCCCAGGTGCCCTAAACTTGTGTTTCCCTAAGTGTGTAACACTGTCCCCTGGGGAGTGCTGGAATGCCCCCCCCAGGGGGGGGCACTGCAAAAACAGACGTTTCATCCTGGATTATGAGTTCTAGCACAATTTTTTAAATTTCATCCTGGATTATGAGTTAGAGTACAAATGTTTTCATTGCCAGAGTGTTGCTGAGTACTTTTTTCCCCCTGCAAAAAGGGCAGTAGACCATATAAATTTGGGAGCATGTGCTCTACACTCTCAAAGGCATGACAAGCTTCTCTGTGACAAAAACAAACAAATCAACTTGCTGCCACAAAGCTGACTCATAGTGGCCCCCTGTGGTTTCCTAGGCTGTCCCTGTTTACAGGAGTAGAAAGTTCAATCTTCCTCCTGTGGAGCTGCTGGTGGTTTGGAAATGCCCATCCTGCGGATTGCAGCCCATCGCATAACTACTACTCCACAGGCATGGGAAACTTTTGATTTCTTTTATGAGGAGGCCTAATTTCTTTCTATTTTTCCACTTGCCATCAGTTTGCAGTTCACCATGGTGGGGCCCTTTCATTCTTTTGGGACTTGAATGGCTTGATCGGGGTGTTAGATTTGCTCTTAAGTTCCTCCTTTTGTAAAGCAGGTTATACACCCCTTGTTAGGATGTGAGGATGAGGAACTTTGGTGGCATAATGGATTACAAGTTGGCCTACTAACCAGAAGGTGGGCAGCTCAAAAACACCAGTGGCTCCATAGAAGACAGATGAGGCTTTCTACTGCCTTAAAGTTTTGCAGTCTCAGAAACCATCAGGGGCAATTGCATTCAGTCCTGTAGGGTCACCACGAGTCAGAATTGACCCCAAAGCAGGGACATTTATTTACTTTGAGGCATATAATATGTGAGTATATTATGTGAGTATACTAACTCAATATAGTATGTGAACCTAATATTAACGAACACACACTCGTGCTTACACATACCTACCAGGCTGTGCTATGTCCAAGGCAAAAGTAACTAGAACTTAGAGTGAATATTCCCCTTCGCATGGACTCGGCCAGATGCTTGGTGCCTATTCTTGTCTGTCAGTGGAGAACAAAGGCACTGGACAGAATTTGCCTCTCTGTTGGTCCTTTGTGGGCATTCCTTTGTCTTGTATTTTCTAGAACGACTATCACCTTCTCTTACCTGGGCTGTCTGAGTTAAAATCTTCTAAGTGTTCTGATAAAAGGTGCTGCACTGGTAAATAACACGACAGTAATTATTTCCTCACTGGCCAAGCCAGGGTGTTTTCTCATAGTTTACTTTCTAGACCTCTTCTTTCTTGCAGAGTGGAGCCCTTTGTTAGGGTTAGAATTTCCCATAAACCTGCTCAATAATTTGTTTTTGTTTGGCTTCTTTGAAATACTACACAAAGCAGTCCCTGTTTAAAAAAAAAAAGTAACATTGTCCCAATGGCTCAGACGGGAGCTCGAGACATAGGCTCAAAGTTGCTCTTTTGAGGCGGAGCCAGGTAGGTAATTTTACCTCCGGAGGCTCCTTTTCAAGGTGCCCAATTCAGGGGGATCGCCTTTTGGAGCAACCTTGCCCCCAGGGACTCCAGTACTTTCTAGTGAAAGACAGGAGACTTTCGTAAATTCAGGGTCATAAAGGAAACCTGGGCAGAACGTGGGTGGACTATGGGCTGCAGAAGAGTCGTGGGGGGCAGAATGGGCCTCAAGGACTGTCCCCTCCCCGCCGCCAGCACCAGTGGAGATCAGCACTTGGCCCCAGGACAGAGACCAGACCAAGCGGCCAAGTTTAGCAGGAAGCAGGGAACCTAGGAGAGGCGAGATTGCGAAGGCACCTGCAAAGGCTCTGAGTCAAAGGCTGTCAGTCTTCTCAGCTCAGGCTGCTCTGCACTCGAGTGGCCCAGCCCTTTCCCCCAGGGCCAGGGCAGGGAATTGCTAAATGCTGGCTTACCTGGGGAAAAACCAGAGCCTCACGTTGGCCCCTTCCGGTAATTGACACGACAGGGAACCAGGGAGGAGGAGGGGATAGTTACCTTCCATAAATGGTCCCACCCCTGGGCAAGGTGGATCACTCTGGCAGGTAGGAGCCAGGGAGTGTGCACCTGCCACCCGTCAAACTCAGCCGAACTGCAAGTCTAAGAGGAGCGAGCCGAGGGCGGGAGTGAACCATGGATAGATTGAAGTGCCCCAGCTTCTTCAAGTGCAGGAGAAAAGAGGTAGGGGTTTGGGAGCTGTGGGAGGTGTGGTGGGCCCCAGGAAGGGAACATTTAAGTGGGCTAAATATTCACTTTGGGCTTTTGGTGTCTGTTCTTCCTTCTCTACAACTCTGCTCACCTGTCCTGATCTGGGTCTGGGGTGTTCTCAGAGGAAAGAGGGGAAAGAAAAGAGCTCTTGGTCTATAGTTAGAGGATTTAGGGGCCACCTCATCTGTCCTGGGTGGGACCACAAATTCCAGTTCTTTGCCCTTCTCTAAGCAGTTTCTAACCTTTAGGCTACGCTCGAGAGAGACGGGATGAGGAAATGTCTTCCTCAGACATAAATTAACAATCTGTACCCCAGAGCAGGTTTGGAAGAATCAACAACAGCCCCCTCCTCAAGTAGAGAGAGTGCTCCTGCACCTGGTGGGGCAGGACAATTCATCTGACTCTGCATGTTATTCCATGGCTTTCAGAAAAGCACGAACTTTCTTCCAAGATAGGGAAATGAATAACATTTTCTTTAATGCCTCAACCCCCAAATGGTCAGTCATATAGGAAGAAGACTGCACTTTTAGCTTTCAGTAGAAGTTGTACTATAGCCTTCTTCTCGATGATCTGCTACAATCTCGAGTGCTGCTTTGATCTAATTTACCAAGTCGTTTGTACTTGGAACCTGCCTTGTCCTCCCTCGTTAAGCATTGGGCTGCCAAACAGAGGGCTGGCTCTGGAGGGAGCAATATGAGGCTGTCTGCACCCTACAAAACTCTGTGGGGCAGTTCTCTGTCCTATGGGGTTGGGGTTGGAATCAACTCAGTGGCAGCCGGTAGTCCTCTTTCATGTACCTCTCAGGACTTGGTGCAATATGTAACCAGGTCACTAGACTATGTATGATCTCAGCTAAAGTTTTACCTATAGAACTTTTTAAATATTAAATAGGTCAAGGATTTTAAGTTCATCAGCAATGACCTCTCAAGCTTCTGAAAGCATTCCCCTGGGGTAAAGTTTACAGATTCCCTTTTCCTCCTCTCCGTTCCCCTGCTCTCCTCCATTCGCTCCCCTCCCCCTCCTGTTAGCCTATGGATTTGTTAGATTATGATTTATGGAACATGTCATGGTAGAACGTCACTTGCTGGTGTTTTCGCTTCCCCAGAAAGTGACAGCCTCATCTGAGAATTTCCATGTTGATGACAATGATGAGAACCAGGAGCGTGGTAACTGGTCCAAAAAATCGGATTATCTTCTATCCATGGTTGGATATGCTGTGGGATTGGGAAATGTGTGGAGATTCCCCTTTCTGACTTACAACAATGGCGGAGGTATTTTTTCCCACCTTAAATTCTTTCCCTTATAGTGCTAAATGTTCTCTGATGGTATTTTAAGAGCTGAGGAAAGGCATGTGGTTTTTTGGGTTTGTGACAGGATGGTAAGATAGGGAGAAAGAGGAAGCAAGTATACTGTATATACTATTAGTCTAAGCTAGTAGATCATGTTCAGAAGCCACTTGAATTCATAGAATCTTAGATATAAACTTGATAAAGTTTTACATTTAGCATTTGCAAGCTTCTGGTTTGGCATCCCATGCAACTTTTAACTATGATTGACTATTCATAAATTATCTATTCCTATAATAATCTGCTCTTGCCTAATGTGTGCCTTGCCAAATTTATTGCTGAATCAAAGAAGGCAAGGGAATTTAGTAATTTTAAGAAACTCTCAACGAAATTGTTTATTTAAATAGAATAAGGAATTGTGTTTGAAAGTTTACGTGTGGAAGGAGTTGATTAAAAAGTAGTTATAGGTTTTGTATTTTTAAGCTGCATTATTCAGTCACATGTATTTCAAGTAGGATTGAATCTTGTAAAATGCACTCGAGTTTAGATCAAAGCTTGGTGTTCTTATTTCTACAATCTTGTTTATATACTAGGTAGTTTAAGGTGGACTCAATTATAACAAGGAGAAGAAATACTTCCAACGTGACATACGAAGGGAAACAAAATGAATTGCACAATCCTCTAGTAATGTTGAAACAACTTTTCCTTTACACCATATTTTATTTACTTGTAATTACAGGGTCTATTAAAATGTCGTGATGACATGCCCTTATATTTCATAACTGTGTACCAGTGAAACTGTGTCACTATAATTATTTCTTTGGTACAATAGGAATTTTTGTGGTGATGTTTTAATCATATATTCCTATTTAATTGGGTGCATTAAAATATTCACATTGGCCTTCTGAGATTTAAGAAAGGAGCCCAAGTAATCAAAGACTATATGTGGGGTGGCTTAAATTCCCCCACATGGAGGCGTTGTGGCTGGAGCCTTGGTTGGTCAGTCCTTGGTTTGGTTTATCTTTTAGCTACAAAATGAGTCAGGAGTCACGGTCATTTTGGGGTGCACTTTCTAAGCCCCAATGTGGTAAGGTAATGCATTAAGATTGTTTTCCAGTCTCCTGGGCTCATAGTTCATGTGGACATTCCTGATGACTTGACATTATAAGTACACCTAGTCGTCACCATAAATCTCAGGTACAGCATTAAATTCATCTTTAACAGAGACTTTTAAAACAGAGACAACACAAAATGCAAGTAATATTTATTTCATGGTGTTACATCTTAAAGGTCACATCATGTAGGTATTGAATGTTCTAAGGTCTCTCAGTTGCTTCTTTCTCTTTTGCTCAAAGGTGGGAGAGATGCACGAAATTCAAATTTCTCAAACGAATATAGATGAAGTTAAAAGTATGGCCAAGTTGGAGAAACTTCTGCTAATATCTGGAAACATTTTTATATGTGGAGGCTTTTTAACAGTAATAAAACAAATTTTATACTCCCTTGGGGTTTAGGTCAACAGTATTAACAATTTGTGTCTATTGCGTTATATGAACAATTGATCAATTGTGGTTGTTCTTGAGAATACAAAGTAACAGATGAAAACGTATATACAACAATGAAGGAAGTATTCAACTTTTTTCTAAAATACCTTTCCAAACTGGGCTACCAAAAGTTTGCCTTTTGCTGTATTTAAACTTGGATAATTTGTGTTTGTTTTTCTTCAGATTTGTCATTGGTAGGACTTAAGCTTTTGTTAGTCATACCAATGATGGTATGTACATTGCTTCATCTATACAAACATATTTGTCCCTATTACCTAGTGACTTGCAGGGTTAATATTAACGTATTGCCACTTAAGCATGACGATGTAACAAGTACTGTATTGTTTCATTTTTTTGTAGAATATAGTTTGAGCGTTAGGGGGACATGTAATTCCGAGATTGGATGTTAGAGTACCCTAGTATGAAAAATGTTATTGTTGTTGGGTGCCATCCGGTCAATTCCACCTCTTGTGATGAAATAGAACCAACCGCTCCCTTGTTCACTTGGCTGTGATCTTTACAAAAGGAGTCCTGGTGGTGCCATGGTTAAGCACTTGGCTGTTCATTAAAAATTCAATGTTTGGAACCCACCTAGTTTCTCTGCAGAAAAAAAAGATGTGTCAGTCTGCTTCTGTAAAGATTACAGCCTTTGAAACTCTACGAGGCAGTCTTACTTTGTCATGCGAGGTCACTATGAGTCAGTCAACTTGATGACAATAGGTTTGGCTTTGGTGTTGGTTTTTTTTTTTAACTTTTACAGAAGCAGATTTTCAAACCTTCTTTGATCCCCCAAAGACCTGCGTGGTGGATTTGAACAGCCCAATTTTTGGTTAGCCACTGAGTAAACATGAGGAAAAATGCAACATGGATAAATGCGATTTATATACCTTTTTGTGACTGATTCCCATAGTTTCCTATTAAATCATTTGCCAAGACTTCTAGAGTATTAGATCAATAACTGCAATATTCTGTAACCACTTCTACCTACAGTTTTACCTAGTACAAGTTCAAGAGAATAATTTTCTGTCCCAACGGGAGGCAGAAACAAAGAATAACCTTTTTAAAAAGGTTTTGTTTGTTTTTCTTAAAGAGAGCCTTGCTCATCGAAATGAGGGAGAATGAGTCCCTCTGAGACTGAGTTAAATGTGAAGATCAAAAGTAGAACTCTCTGTCATTGAGTCCATTCTGATTTATAGAGCCCTGCTGCTGGAGTGGTTTAGCCTTGGGCGGCTAACCACAAGGGCAGCAATTCAAAACTACCAGCTGTTCCATGGGACAAGATGAGGTTATCTACTCTTTGTCAAGATTTACACTTCCAGAAACCCACGGGGCACTTCTACTCGGTCCTAGAGTGTTCTTACGTGAATATGAGTAGATCTTAAATTTTCAGGTTCTCTGAACAAAACCAATACATTTATTAGCATTAAATGAAAGTTCTGGTAATCATTTGTTGAATAACAAATGTAATGACTCCACTGTGAACCACACTTTGCATTTGTACCCAATATGTTAAAAAGAATTTATTTTTTTTAAAACAAAGGAGGAAAATCAGCATTGACTATATCCTCTATGCTAGCCATTTGCTAATTGTTTTATATAGTCATGCAATTGAACCTTATCACAAACTGATGACTTGGTATTGCTCTTCCTTTGGAAGTTAAGTAAACTGCCTCAAGTCTGAAAGCTGAGAAATCCAAGGTTTATGGAATCAGCTACTTTATTTCGATCCTCTAACGCAACGTAATTGAGTGGACTCAGACTCTTTTCAAGAGCTAGCAGCTGCAGGGTTTGAGCTGCTGACCTTGTGCAAAGCAGCCCAATAGCTAACCTAGGGCACCACCACCAGGATTCTCCTTTATTGCAGCCAGTAGTAAATTTGAGACCAAAATAGTCTGACTCCCCGACATCAGAATGGTTTTAAAACTTTTTGCTCGTTGTCAAAGTGCACGAAGACTTTTGAGATACAATTGTGCCTTTTTCTTTTCTAGGCGCCTTCTTGATCCCCTACACGATTATGCTGGCATTGGCTGGTTTGCCTCTGTTCTTCTTAGAGTGTTCTCTGGGACAGTTTGCTAGCTTAGGCCCGGTTTCCGTGTGGAGAATCCTTCCATTGTTTCAAGGTTGGTATTGGAATGTTTCCCTCACTATCCATTTCTCATTGGTCTCTTTGTGCTTGCCTTGTTGGACAGTTTTTTTCCCTTCCAGTTGATTCCACTGTATGGAAAGGAATAGCATTTACTATGTTGACATCTTAAGACAAAGAAATATGCATTGTTGTTGCTTTCCTCTATCATTTGTCAAGCTAGAATTTAAAATCAAATTTTTACTTTTATAGATGAGTATCTAGGGTTGCAACTGTGTTTTTTGGGGGTGGGTTAAGGATGTCATTATTTTATATTATCCTTTCAAATCCCCTTGGCAGACAGGCCCATTGTGCATCAACTCCACAGCTCTGACTTTTTTTCAAATTCTTGGGCACTTTTTGCCTATGGTGTTTGCAGATCTTTCTTAATGCCTGATTCACAGAAGTTGAAGGGCAGGTCACTGTGTTTTCCCAAATGGACATTAAAAAAATAATTTTTAGGTCTGGGCTGTGTTTAGAAATCAAACTACCTTGCTGTCTTAAGATTAGATATGAATTTGGTATATACTAGCTGCTGAAAACCATTTGTGAAAACCTCAGTGAGACATCAAAAACAATCTCAAAGAGAGATGAATAGAATTATGTGGCGGAATACTGGAGAAGCTACCTCAACAGCTAGTCTCTGGCTCAGGACTCATATTCAGTATTTTAAACTTCATTTTCAAACTACGGACTTAAATCTGTGAATTTCAAATTCTGATTACGACTAACTTATTGGCTCATCTTGACGTGTACTTGTAAAAATATTACACGATCCTTTCAAAGTACTAATCCAGAGGCTTGACTTCCTACCCATCAAAATATTGGCTTATAGATGTTCAAAGTCTTGTTCATTAAGTAATAAGGCATGAACTCTAAGTTTTTCAATAATAATGCCCACTTCAACAAGATTGTGTAGATAGAATACGACATCACAGTGAACCATGATTTTCCTTTATCTTGGTCCCCTCCCCTTTACCGTAAAACCTGTTTATAATCAGCTGATAAACTGTCCTGAAGAGGCAATCACCAAAATAATTTTAAATGTGGGGAAGTAAGCTATTCAGACAGTACTGCTTTCCCTCAAAGAGTTATTTAATAGAGTCTATTCCAAAGATTTTGTGGAATTCATGTAACTTTTTGAGATTCACAATGGAAAATGAGGTGGGGTTTTATTTTATTTTTTTACATTTTACTTTTTAAAAACCATTTTCACTATTCTCTTTTCCAGGTGTGGGAATCACAATGGTCTTGATATCCATTTTTGTGACCATTTATTACAATGTCATAATTGCCTATAGTCTTTACTACATGTTCGCTTCTTTTCGAAGCCAACTACCATGGGCTACTTGTGGTTCCTGGTCAGATGAAAACTGCAGCAGATCACCTATAGGTAAAAAAAAAAGATTGTAAAAAACAATATTGCATAATCTGACTTATGCTTTCATAATTTCTAAATAAATTTAAAGTGTTAAATGATCTAATCAATTTAGGTGCACTTTTCAATGGGTCACAGATCACTAAGGATGACAGAATAAAGCATGTATAACCTGAAAATGTATTAATGTAGCCAGCAATGCTAAGGGATGTCTAGAAGTACTTGTAGGTCCAAGGCATATACAAGAGAGAGAAAAACGAGTAATGAATTGAGGAAAGTGCTATCTATAATTAGTAGTAGTGTGTCTGAGGAAACAGAAAGTGTTTCTATATCGTATGTCTTTGGAGAAGGAATATTGTAGACTATTAACACTGCGATTGCCTGTACACATTTGAGAAGAAATTTATAAAGATTTACCCTATCTTAGGAATCTGAAAATGTCCCATCACTTATATAAGTTACATAATTCCATATACATAAAGTTAGAATACTAAACACTAACTAAATCAATTGTTAGGCTATAGCTGTTGCTACTATAAACATAATTACACTTTAAAAGAGTAGATTTTTTTATATTCACCCCGATTTAGTAGTAGAGAAGATATATTGAATGAACCTGGCATTTTCCATGTGTAAGATTTATTTCACGTTAGACTGCCAACTACAAGGTTTCCAATGCGAAACGAGGAGCCACGCTGAGGAAAAAGTTACAGTCTCAGATCCAAATAGGGGAACTTTCTACCCTGTCCGGTAGGGTCGCTATGAGTCAGAATTGACTGATTGCAGTGAGTTTGGGGTTTTTTGGCTTGGTTTTCACCAAGGAATAATATAGATAGTGATTTAAATATTTCATCATAGACTTGTTTGGAGAAGTACTCTTCTAAAACTAAAATATGTGTCTGTGTCTGTGCATTTTAAAATCATTTTTAGTAACTCACTGTAATGTGAACACCACTGATGGGCTCATCCACGTTAATAGAACCTGGCTAGATATCAACAATGCTACTTGCCTCAATGGCAGTGAAGTTTATGTGCCAGGGCAGCTTCCCAGTGAACAATATTGGAAGTAAGTACACTAGATGATCTATTTCTTAAGCAGATGGTATGAACACATTTTTATAAACAGCAATAAAATACTGATCAGCCCCTTTCGTAACTCACAAAGAAATAATGGAGGTTCTGGGTAGATTAATTCAAATTTACTTTATTCAAATGTGTACCAACCCTTGGTGAGCTTGGTGAGTAGTTGTTGACTTAATTTCCACTCACAGTGACCTCTGTAACAGAGGAGAATGATATCCCATATCCCATATCTGTGAACTTTATGGGAGCACATCACCAAATATTCTCTCTCATGGAGTAACTGGTGGGCTAGACCTTTTAGTCCTCAGATGAGAGCTTTACCATTGTGCCACCAGACTGCCTGAAAAATTAGATCCTAGTCAACAAATTGTCATTTATGAAGTCTTTACTAAATTGACTTAAGACTGTCAAGAATGATTTCCTTAGTAATTACTCACTGTAAGTTGGGGTTCTACTTTAAAGAAAAAATATTCAAAGTTTAGACTATAACAAACATGTATAGTATATAACTGGTATATAGTTGAACTTTTAGACTATAACAAAAATGGTAAATAGGCGGGCGATAAGTATTATTGGGGACAAAAGTACTATTTAAAGCTATGATTTCCCAATATCTGATTGGTTTCAAAGGACATTATATGGTAAGAATATATATTTTGGCTGATGTTTAATTTTATTAATTGAAATTTATCTGTCTTTACTTGGCGTACCCTGTAGAGTGCATTATGTCTTACCATGGCCCACGTCCTGACCTACCTTTTACAGTGAGATCAAATCTTTCTTTCTCCTGCTAAAGATAGTTCTTCCTCATTCATATGTTAATGTCCTCTGTGACCTTTTAAAAGTTCGGATCTTGAAATGTTCCCAAATATCAAGTTCAGAATCAAGAGCCTACATTCATTTGTGCATGTCCCAAGTGAAAACGGTGGGATTTTAAGGAAAGATTTTGGGGGAAAATGTAAATAATGGACTGGTTTGGATTGTGTGATATCTAAAATGTAGTGACTATCCAAAATATTTAAAATACCTTCAAATATGCTTTCCTTGGTTTTAACTTGAGGGATAAAAACAATGCAACGAGAAAAATGAAGCATGGGTCTTTGAAATATTAAAACAAGTCAACAAAGAAAACTATTTTTTGCCTCTACATAAAATAGTTAAATAAAAAGCTCACAGGACTTTTTGCTGATAAAGTAATTAGATGTAAACCTCAATTAAATGCCCTCCCCGATGCTGCAGATTAAAGTCTTCAACGTTTTTGTTAACATGTCATTTTGTGCTCATGAAAGAACGTATCTGTTTTCAGCAAAGTGGCACTCCAGCGGTCAAGTGGAATGGAGGAGACTGGAGTAGTCGTGTGGTATTTAGCCCTTTGCCTTCTCCTGGCTTGGCTTATAGTTGGAGCAGCACTATTTAAAGGGATCAAGTCTTCCGGCAAGGTAATTTGGAAAATCGTTAAATTACCATGTTGCTACTTTCCAATTCATTGTACTTCAATGCTAAGCACTGTAATATACATATTTTTTCCTTAATGGGGAGAACTGTATGTGTGAAAAATTTTTCCATTGATTCTAAGTTGACAGTCTAACTCCAGTCTATATTTAGGATGCTTGCTAATGTACAAGCCTCGTAAAACAAACAAACAAAAACCAGTACTGAAGTCCCTCACAACTTGGACCCTGCAAGCTGACAGGGCATTTTGAGACTTAATTTTCAAGTTTTCTGTCTCACTATATAAAATAAGCATTTTATTGGCAATGCTTAGTATGGAAAGTCTAGGTTTTTGATATAAAAGGGTACTAATGTCAGGACTCCCCTACTCGGAAAGAGGCTAACTGGAGCATGTTGTCAGTCCCTGAAAGGAAAGCTGGCCAAGGACTCTGACAGAACGGGGATTTTTTCTTTTGTTTTTAATGTCCAAGAGCATGATGGCGATTTAAGAGAGCACTTTACCCAGAGCAGTGTATGCTTCTGTGTTTGTAAGTACTAGACAGGACTTTCTTTAAAAGGGGAGGCCAGGAGACTGTTTTCTTGTCTTCTTCCTAGTACATTCTTTGGCATATTCCATTACTGGTGAGTTGTAATGAGACATGCTATTAGATCAAGAAAATACTGTGAACATCACAAGCCCAGTGGAAACTTTCCAAAATAATTTGTCAATTACACTTAAAAACAAAACTTTGCTCCTTTAGACATTAATATTGAAAGAATCAACGACAGGCCATTTCCACCGGCAACTAATTTTATTGATCACCAGCTGGCTTATTTTCAATGTTTCCTTGGGTAGACTACCAAACACAGGGCATCTAGGGATCGAAGAACCCGTCCGCATTCACGAAAATCCATGCTCAGAGGCAGTCTTCTCGAAGAGGATACTGCCTTCTCTAGGACAAAAGCTGTGCCATCAGACTCACTCAAGAATAGCTTAGGATGCCAGTAGCAAGTGTTCAGTAGTCACTTTAAAGAGCTTACACGAGATTTGAGCATATCCTTGGGGGTTGAACATCTATTAATGATTGCAGGGTGTAAAATAGGTTTTATTTTTCATACATCAATTCAGTAACTTACAGATAGGAGAATTAGTCTCCTCAAATCTTAGTAAGGATATACTTAGGAAAGTACCCCACTCGGATTCCAGGTTCTCACTATTGATAAAGTGTTTATTTACAACATGAGCCTGGAGAATATTACTTCATACATCAGCTTGTTTTGACAATGGATCCTTGAGAGGGGTCAAGCAGAAAGAAAATTAGCAAACTGGTATTGGTGTCATCAGACTTATTAATAATCATACAACATATCCAGTACTTTGAATGCATAGTCTCCACTGGCTAACATCTTTATTTGTTGCAAATATATGTTAAGAGTAACATATTGTTTGGCTCTTTTTCTTGGCAGGTGGTATATTTTACAGCACTTTTCCCTTATGTTGTCCTTTTCATCCTGTTAATTCGAGGGGCGACTCTCGAGGGTTCATTGAAAGGCATTTCATATTACATCGGATCCCAGTCAAATTTCACAAAACTTACAGAAGCCGAGGTAAGAAACTTCATTCGGGTTTAAAATGATCTGAGGAGAAGAATCTAAAAATCAAATAGCAAAAATCCTTGCTTGCATATAAGAGTGCCTTAGTAATATGAAGTAGTTTGCAAAAGTATGCAATTAATTTTAGAGTATTTCTGTCAACAAAGGAGTCTAGTTTAGCTCTTTGGCATGGCACTGAAGCTTTCTTACTAGACATGTGATAATAATTTCATCAACAGATTTGGAAACTGTCAATTTATTCATGTTACTGGTTCAGTTTGACCGAAAGTATTTTAGGTTTATTATCATGAAAATGTTTTTTTTGTACATAAATACCTCCAAATTGAATATGAATTTGCTGTGATTTACTGGATACAAATAATAGTAGCTTTAAAGATTAGTTGATTATTTCATGGTATTTTTAAACTGTCTTCACAAGTTACTATCCCAAAAGTAAGATAAAAGTTTGCCTAATGGATTATGAAGTTAAAACACAAATTTGGCATGGATAAAGAGTTCCATAAACAAAACAATTACTTGTATTGGAAACATAAATATGCTCCATGAATATGAATTGGGTAGCTTTATTGTAGCTTTATCTTATCTCCAAATGATGGTCCTATGTATTATGAGTGCATAAAATCTTACAATTTTCACTGCAAAAAGCATTAGTAATACTTTATTGGTATAGTCTTAAAACCATTTCACTTTGTAGTATAGTAACATCATTTTTCTTGGCTCATATTGAGGCTCTGGTTAGCTAAAATCCCATATTCATGTTGAAATCAAGAAACACTGTTCATATCATTTACCATCCAAGTAGTGGTATTCAAAATAGAAATTTGTCTTACCATGCTATGGTATTGTTTGTAGAACCAATGTTAATTTTCAATCATTGCTCTTTGATTTTCCAAATACTTATAATCCAGGTAATTTATTATTTGTTGTAAAAAAATTCTGATAAGCAATGACAAGTTGATCAGATTATAATTTTGCCCATTTTGAAAACAGAAATGGCACTCTCTCTTTGATTACCTATTGTTCTTTGTTACCTAATTTCCACTTGATGAACCAAAAAAGTTCTAAAGTATTTTAAAACGATGAGACTTTATTATTCTGGTCCTGACACTAACATAATTTGATGTGTCCAGAGGCCACCCTAATTTATTTCTCCATTTATTCCAGGCTTCTTTTTTCTAAAGCTTTGTTGGTTCCTCTCTTTTCAATTTGAAGACCATTTTCTGTGGTGAATAAGAAGCAAATAAAATGGAAGCTGTGATTTATCAACTTCTTTCAGTTAGGCTATGAAATGAAATAAAGTATATAAGTGTACTTAGGAAATTGTAAGCTATCTATAAATATGAACTGATAAACATGTATTTCAATTATTCCTATTCTAAAGTGGTATTATAGTTGCAACTTTCCTAAAAAGTGATATCATATCCTTTTTTTAACCTCATATCTGAGTACAGTTGAGAAACACTTTGTGATGGTCTTTAAGCAGCTTTTAAGGAGCCAGGTTGGCACAGTGGCTAATGACCTGGCTGCTAACTGAGCGGGTTGGCCATTTTAACCCACTTGCTTCTCTTTCTCTGCGGGAGGCAGATGTGCCAGTGGGCTTCCCTACATATCCACAGCCTACGCCATTCTCTGAGGCCGTGCTGTTCTGTTCCATTCTAGCCTGTAAGGTCTCCACGAGCCACACTTGACTCAAGGCAGTAGATTTGGTTTTAGGTTTCATAAGTAGCTCTTACAAACTTAGGATCACTTGGCTTTTACACTTCCTTGGAACTGTCCTGAAACTTTTATAGTGGTCTGTGCTTCTGTCTGTGTTATCGTCAAAATAAATCAGAGGTACAATGAAACTCTTTGTGAATTATACTTGTTAGTCCACTTTCCTTTCTGCAACACACAAAGTATTGTGTTATCTCTTCTTCTGGGGGTTACATACCAATGATAATTGTCGTTTTTTATTTTTTATTACTCACCATCCATATTCTAAGCATCGGATCTATCCTATATATTTGCCCTCTTTAATATCTGAACTCTCTTGAAACCCTAGACAAATAGAAAACCATACAAGTTTATAGCTGAAGGAAGCTTCAGAGATTATTTTAACATCACCTTAATTTTACAGTGAAGCAACAGAGGTGGGGGCGGAGGGTAACCAGTGTGGCCAAGTTTACATAACAAATTATTGTAATTTGAATTAAGATTTCCTAATCCCTAGTTGAATAATCTTTTATATACTTTAACTATGTTTGGAATTTCTCCTCACTTTTATTTGCAACCTAGTCACACACCATGGTATGCAATAGAGTAGTCAACAGCATTCTTACACAAACAGCCCTGCCGCACCCACTTTCAGTTTCCCATGGTTCACACATACATATATATATATTACCTTCTAAAGGAGTCTCACAGGCCAAGACAAGTATAAAATTCCACTCCTACTATGAGCTACCGCCTAAGAAATAACAGTATTTTGCCCTAGAACATGATTTCGTTATATTTGAGTCAAACAACATAGATTGTTTATCCAATTTGCTTCACATTGGTTTCCTGCCATTATAAAAAATAATGCAATAATAATTTAATATCCAACTATAACTAAGGAAGTTAACAAATATATGGATATGTGGTAGAGGTCACAGTAGAGATCAGTGGGGAAAAGTCAATTCAATAAGTGGTCCTTGGACAGTTGATATTCCTTTTAGGAAAAAAATTAAATGAGCTTTCTACATTTTACTATGTACATTATCAATTTCAAGTGATTTAGAAACTTAGCAATATAAAATAAAACTTTAAATATATCAACAGAAAGCAAATACAGGATTGTCATAAGAAGACAATCCTACATTTGTATTCTCCCATCATGAAAGACATGATTTCATTTCAATTCTAATAGAAACAAAGTTGCTAGGGGGAAAAGGTGATGTTGCTAAATATTCAGATTATAGCTGGGTATTTACGTTTTGAGTAAGAGATATCACAGACAATGGATAAAAGCACAGGTAAATATAGTCATATCAAGAACAGAAACAAAACTGTTCATCAAAGGCCAATGCAAGAAAGCAAAAAAACCCCAAAAAACCCCGCAAATTAGGAGAAAACAATCTTCAAAATCTATAATAAACAAGCCAGTGGTATTCAAATTATTTAAAGAATTTCTAAAAATCAACTCAAAAAAAGACAACTCATAAGAAAACTGGGAAAGATTATCACCAAGAATTTCACAGGAAAAAGAAAAATACACATGAAAAGATGGTACACCTTACAAAACAATTAGGGCATAGGGCAACCAAAAATTAAAAACTCATTTCACAGCTACTAAATTGTACTACATTAAAAATTCTAAGTTTTGGTGAAGATTTGGAGTAATGGGAACTCTTATGCCCAGCTAGTAGGCGTACAAAGTGGGAGAATGGCTTAGAAATAGTATAGAAAGAGGAAGGACATCCTACGTTAGAAAAGACATCCTCAAGAATGTTCATAGATACAGGATAATAACAAAATATTGTAAGTAACCTAAATGTCTCTTAACAGAATAAAGAATAAATTAGGATGCATACCCACTGGTATAGCATACCAGTGAAAAAATGAAAATAAACTACATATTATTTAATTGAACCATATGAATTTGTCTATAGTAGTTCATTTTTAAAAAATTAAATCATTGTACTGGGGCTCGTACAACTCTTATCACAATACACACATACATCCATTGTGTCAAGCACTTTGTACATTTGTTTCAGTTCATTTTCGACTTACAAAAGTGGAAATTTCCTATCATTCTTCCTCCTTGATAATGGACAACCTTGACACACAATACTGAATGAAATAGACCAGTGTGATACGTTTACATGCACCAAGATACCATCTCTATATGTTTAAAATCGTGGAAAGCCTAATGCTATACTCTATGTTTATGTGGCAAAAATATAAAGAAAAACTCCAAACCCAACCCAACCACCAGTGAGTCTCTGCTGACTCACAGAGACCCTACAGGACAGGGTAAGAACTGCCATCGTGAGTTATTGAGAGTCGTAACTCTACAAAAATAGAAAGCCTACCGTACTCCTGCGGAGGTGCTGGTGGCTTCGAACTGCTGACCTTGCAGTTAGCAACTCAATTGTAACCATGATGCCACCAGGACGCCAAAGAAAAACAAGACCATTATAAACAAAAGCGCAGCTGGCAGTTACCAGTAGAGGGTGGGAAAGGGAAATGATTAGGAAAGGCAATTATCTATTTAAGCTGGGTAGTGGGTATTCATTTCATTATAATTTACAATGCATTTACATAATTTGGCACAGTTGATACAAATGAAAACTTAAGATTGTATATGGTAAATTATAAAATTATTTTTTTCTTCTAGGTTTGGAAAGATGCTGCCACTCAAATATTTTACTCCCTTTCCGTGGCGTGGGGGGGCTTAGTTGCTCTGTCATCTTACAACAAGTTCAATAACAACTGCTTCTCTGATGCTATTGTAATTTGCTTGACAAACTGCCTCACGAGTGTGTTTGCTGGATTTGCTATTTTTTCTATATTGGGACATATGGCTCATATATCTGGACAGGAAGTTTCACAAGTTGTAAAACAAGGTATGTAAGTAACACTGTTGTGTTCTTAGTTCAGCATAGCTCACATTACAAACTAATATAACTTATAGAAATTTACATGAACTACTCAGGATTTAGGGTCTGCCTTTCCTTTCTCTTTCCATATTGATATAAAAAACTGTGTGCAATACTTCTTGTATGATCTGGGAAAACAAAATTATACTAGGGAACAACAGCTTAAGAAGACAAGAATTCTTTCTATTCTTTCTAGATTTTGTTTAGTCCCTTGTACGAACCCATTGTTATACTATTATAACTATCAGGCATCATGCTAAACACTGTATTCACATAGTCGTATTAATATGTATGTATACATATGCATATACATACCTATCATTTTCTCTATATAAAACTATATTTATGTACAATATAGTTGCCATCTCGAGTCTTAATATTTAAGACATGTTAATACCACGTAGATGGAAATCCAAGTGTCTTTGACAGTACAGAGATGTATCTGTCTACCTTTAAGACAGTCTGATGAAATACCTAACTTTAAAAACATTAGCTATGGATAATTATCTTGCTAAGAATTTGTAAGGGGGGGGGAAGCCTAGCTCTTTTAAGTAAAATTCTTTATTAAATTTTTGCTTATAGATAATATCATTTAATAGGGACTCTGAAGAATGCTACTGTAATGTCAGACATTAGAAGGGTCCCTGGAGATTCTTTAGTATCTAGCTACTCATTTACAGAGGAGTGCATTTTAAAATGAACAGAAATGCTATATGCCTTGTAGAAAGTGAAAAAATTGGGAAGTGACAGAGCCTCTACCAGAAGCTAATTCTACTGAATCCCAGAGTAGTTTGACTGGGAAGTTGGGAAAACTTTTATCATACTTAAAACTAAGGATCAGAAAAAGCATCTCTATGTAAAATAGAAACTGATTCTTTACATCTAATTTTGGAGGTATCTCTGTACTGATTAATTTGGCACTGCAAGTAACGATTCTGGTAAATAGCTGAGGAGAAAGTTGCAGGATGAAATGCTAGTTCTATAAGTGCAATCCTTTGATAAATTTTAGGCAAAGATAAGGTGACCTAATTGAGGTTTGTGGAGTTTAAAACACTTCTTATACTTCATTAATCCTAAAAAATACCTAAAATTAAAGCGGTTTTCAAAAACACCATCAGAATAACTCAGATTTCGTATGTAAGAAATGTAATATATAAAATGTTTGTTTCACTAGCTTAATTCATATGATATATGTACATCATCACGTGGTTGTACCACCAAACCAAGTGTTCCCCCCCAAAAGCACATCTTGGATCACGTCGCCTAAATGAAATGAAAAATTTCTAATATCTTATTTTGAAATTTTATATATATAAGCAGATTTCTTAATAACTCATTTAAATAAATTCCCTTCCATTTTGTCTTAGGTTTTGATTTGGCATTCGTTGCCTATCCAGAAGCTCTATCCCAACTCCCTGGTGGCCCGTTTTGGTCCATATTATTTTTCTTCATGCTCTTGACTTTGGGTCTCGACTCTCAGTTTGCTTCCATTGGTAAGTAATATGTCTGGTATTAAAATGTCCCTCCTGTATTTTACTAACATTTCGTCTCCTTTGAAAACATACGTAATTTTCTTACTTCTATTGCTCCTTGTGGGATCTCAGGCGGCATAGTGGATTTGGTGATAAGCTGCTAGCTGCAGGGTCAGCACTTCAGACCCACTAGCCATTCAGGGAGAACAACGACAGCTGTCTAGTCCCTCAAAGATTTACAGCCTTGGAAAACCTCAGAAGCAGTCCTGAACCCATTCTGTCCTGAACCCATTCAAAGGCGAGGGGTTTGATTTTGGGTTTGTTGCCCCCTCTAGCGGTTACTCCCAAAAGGATCGTTTGAAAGAATTCTAATTCACTTTTAAAATAAAAGCATTTTATTGGGGGGCTCTTCCAGCTCTTATCACAATCCAGACATAGATCCAGTTTGTCAAACACATCTGTACATGTCGTCCTCGTCTTTTTTCAAAACATTTTCTTTCTACTTGAGCCCCTGGCATCAGCTCCTCATTTTACCCCCTCCCTCCCCCTCCCTCCTCACTTGTGCCCCCTTGATAATTTACATACATTTTTTCATGTCTTACACGATAGTTCACATTTTAAATACAGAAAAAATCCTAAGTACATATGTCCTTGGTACTCTAAAGGAACAAGCAATGTGTTATCATATTTGCTAAAACCTTTTTTTAAGAATAATAAACTTTTAAAGATGAAATTTTAAGTCCTTGATGTTTCTTCCTTCCTAGGGCAACTGTCACCAAGGATTGTGTATATTATTCAGTTCATGTTGGTATAACACTTCATATGTGTCCATAAATAACATTTTTATAATTTCACACGAATGTGACGTAGCATAGCACACATATCATTCTGACAGCTTGTTTTTTTATGTATGGGTTATGGATTGATGTTGGTACACATACGTATGTACCTATATAAATCTAGTTTACTACACTGGTAGTTGTCATCATAATAGGCATTTGGATTACTTCCAACTTGTTTTTATTATACACACTATCGCAATGGCTAACCTGGAATGTGGCTGTATGCACGTACAGAGATTTTCCCTAGGGTAAACCCCCAACCCACTGCCATCAAGTTGATTGCGACTCACAGAAGCCCAAAATAGGGTTTTTGAGGCTGGAGAACGGCTGGTGGATTTGATGCTAGAAATTCGGTAGCAATCTTCATGTAACTCTCTAATATAATACATTTTAATAGTTCTCTCAGTGTACAAGATAAAATTCCAGCATCCTCTAGTTTCAAAGGCATTTCACATCTCAAATATATTTTGTAATCCTTTCTCGTATACACCCTTCTACTCTTAGCCATTTCCTTATTTCATGAACACATTCATTTCTTAAAGCTAGAGGGCCTATCTCCATACCACTCATTCAAACATTGGCTTTACTTAGAAGTCCTATTAGCAATTTTTTTCTTACTTTCAACTCCCTTTTCAACAACTTCAGCCTGTGGGAGCTCCTTACCCTACAGTTGCTACCAACATAGAACCTTCTACAACAGACACCCCCCCCCAAATAAGCAAATAAATACACCCCCCCAAAAAACCCGGAATTTGATTTTCATCAAAAGCAACAAATGATGACTGCTAAGAAGGATTCTATTGATTTTTAAATACAAGGAGCAGGCTCCAAAATCTTTTCACAAAATGTATTCATAAATTTCACGAGCAGATTTTTGAACCGCAACTAACCTCACTGTCAAATGAGTTGACCTGTTCCATGGCTCTCCCCCCTCTGCCCCCCACCTCCCTCCTGAAGAAACCATCACAACGACGATTCAAGATTTATTTCCGAAGCTGATGAAGAAAATGAGGATTCCCGTCACTTTGGGTTGCTGCTTGGTTCTGTTTCTCCTTGGTCTCGTCTGTGTAACTCAGGTATGTGGCAGGCAGAATGGTTTCATAGGCACAATATAAGTTGGAAGATAATTGTAATGTAAATGAGGAAATCAAGGTCCAAAATGTTTCACAGTGAGACCAAGTGTGACTTGGAACAAATTTTCACCCAAATATTTTCCCCTCATGGTAACACAATTTTAATAGAAAAACAGTTCACAGAGGAGGAGGGGGCGGGTCCAATCACAGTAAGATTATGGACTTTAAACATATGTATTCTTTTGGCAATGCTAAGGTGACCAGACGTCCCGCTTTTGGCGGGACAGTCCCGATTTTTAACAATTTTTCCCGCGTCCCACAGCGTTTCAAAGAAGTCCCGATTTTTGGAAAGAATGCACGACAAGCTTGGGTATATGGTTTTCGGCTACCATGTGGCTATTTCGCCAGGATATGAGTTTTATCAATGATGTCCCACTTTACCAATGTTACAATCTGGTCACCGTCTTAATACCAAAATATCGACACTGTCTATCATTTTTCTGTTTTTTCTTTCTGGCTCCGTGTAGAAAGAAAGACAGTTATGGAAAATTCTAAATCAACTAAAGGCACATTTATACCTAGATGAAAACACTCTTTTTCATATTTTAGCAGAGGGCAAATTAAAAAGCATGTCTTAAGATAAAATCAATATATTAAATTATCAATATTAAATCAATCATAAAAACAATAAAATATATAATTAGTAGCAATTTTCTTTTTTTAGGCTGGAATTTACTGGGTCAATCTGATTGACCACTTCTGTGCTGGATGGGGTATTTTGATTGCAGCTATACTGGAAATAGTAGGAATCATCTGGATTTATGGTAAGTGCAAAATTATTTTCAATATTTGTTAAAATAGTTTCTGCATGTCCATTTCCATTATTATAGCAGTAAAAGAGTACCAGGCAAAATATACTATGATGAAAATACATTTAAAATGTAGACCTTGTCTTTTTAAGGGTGAAGAAAAAGGAGATAATTTGGGGTCACAATTAACATTGACGGAAAATATGAACAAAATCTGAAATGAGTTATTTGATACTATTTTCTTTAGGAGGGAACAGATTCATTGATGATATAGAAATGATGATTGGAGCAAAGAGGTGGATATTCTGGCTGTGGTGGAGAGCTTGCTGGTTTGTCGTTACTCCTGTCCTTTTGATTGTAAGTACTGAAAAACCAACTCATTGCCATCAAGCCAATTTTGACTCATAGCGGCACGATAGAGCAGGGTACAACTGGCCCCATGGGTGTCTTAGATGGTAATGTTTATGGCAGTAGAACGTCTCATCGTTCTCCCTGGAGAGGCGGATTTTGCCATTAACAGCCCAATGCCACCAGGGCTACTACCTTGAGTATTAGATATCATATTAATTTGTTGGAAAAATACACATTTCTAAGATAAGTTTGAAGAAAATTCACATTAGAGTAAGGCAAAGGTACAAATACTTACCCAGCATACATTTCAATAAAATACTTGCCTAATACATCAGATTGAGAGTGAGATTTAGATATCAGATTTATCTGAAATGATTTTCAACTTTTTGTCCACTCTTTCTATGGCCAGCATTTCGTAAGTGCCTATGTTAAAGGAGGAAGCCTGGTAGAGATTTATACATTGGGCTTCACCAAGGTCAACAGTTCTACTACCCCAGCTGCTCTGTGGCATAAGATGTGGCTTTCTCTTCCCATAGACAACTGCACTCTTGGCAACCCGCAGAGAACAAATCTAGCCTGTCCTATAAGGTCCTTAGGTCAGAATTGACCAGATGGCAGGGAAGTGTTTTTTAAACATTCAATTGCCTTGACTATATTATGTTTTACAAGTCATGATATGTTTAAGCAATTTGAGAAAATAAAGAGACCTTTAAAAGGATACATAAAAATAAGTCATTCGTTGGCACATTCTCTAAGCATTCTAATAGTAAGTCATCTGCAATGTTCTTTTTAAAAGTATTATTGGCATGTAAGTCAAATACCTTACAATTCTATGGTTCAATCAAAAAGGAGTTTCACAATCATCACCACGATCCATTTCAGAACATATTCTTCTCTCTTGTACTCATTGTTATTAGTGCCCCACTGCCTCCCAACCTACAAAATTCACATTCTAAATGTACCGATAGCTAACAAAGGATATGGATTTTCATGCATACATTTTTCCTCTGAAATAACTACAAGGAAACTCTTGTGTGTCAACAGAGGCAATGGTTTATGTTAATGAATTCAAGAGTTGGTATTAGTTAGAAAATGAGGAACTGTGAAATGTCTTACTAGAAAGACGTGACATACAAACAGGACATCTTTATACAATAGTTCTGCACAGTAAATGGCTGAATGCCAACAATATACACTCTATGGGTGGGAAAATCACTAGACTAGAGATCAAGGTAAAAGATAGTGACAAAGTGGCATAGCTTCACAGAGGACCTATTTGTTTTGTTTTCTCCCTTCGTGCTCATATTCTTGATAAATGAACATGGACTGTTTAGTTTCAAAAGTACTACCGAATACATAGTTTTCCTCATTTGAAAAACATTAATCTTAATAACAATCTTCTTATCAACTTTGAAGAACTAACTAGCTTTTACCAGCAAATGTCCATTTCTTCCGTAAAATTCGATTCCTCAACTTACTTTGAAATGCAGAAGGCCCATTTATTTTGTATAAAGTCACGTATGTTAGGCTTCCCTGTCCTCTATCCATGCTCTTGTGGTTATATACAATTATTCTAAGCTGCATTAAAATTATTTTCTTTATATAAGATTAGTGGAATTAGTCCATCAAATTCTGAAACTAATCTTGAGTATCTAGATTATATTTAATTGCATACATCTGTTTCATGAAGATTCCTATATTCTATTGTTTTATCAGTAATTTCAATAAAACAGACATATCTAAATTCAGTGAATCTACTAGGTAATTTTTTGATATTGTTTTCATTTGCAGCTCTTTGCATCACTTGAATGCCTTGTAGGACTTACAAAATGCTTTTGTTTTCCAACTGGCTTTAAAGGCTGGAAAGCTCCTGTTTTTACCAGGAAACCAAATCAATACTGAGCTTTTTTGGTTTTGTTGTCAAGAAGAGGCTGGAAGTACAGAATGTTTTAATGGACATAGACCGATAGGATGTGTAAATCCATATGTTCTCAGCATGGGGGAGAAGGTGCTCTGAAGAGTGAAGCAAGCATGGCCGCTGATGTACGCTTTGCATTCTCATATTTAATTAATTTATATGCTGGCTAGAATGCAGGATAGAGTTAGACCCATGTTATAATAAATTAGCATGTAAAGGCCTAATTTTAAATTTTAACTATTATTTCACTCTCAAGCTGATATAACAGTCACGTGTTTTCTAGTAATGTATGTTGGACAAGTGCTTCTATCGTTTATAAGTAGATGGTGGTCCTAATTTTGAAAGCATTTATTCAAAATTAAAAGACAAATTATTTAATGTGGTCTATTCATTATTATTGTCATATGATTAGTTACCTGTGTGTCTGCCTTACTTGAATGCAGCTCTATTTTAGCTAGTGATAAATTATTTCTAATGAATGGAGTCAAGTATTTTAACAGTAATGTAATAGAGTGTAGTATTTAACTTTGTTTTCTCATTTTTTTCCTTTTGTAGGCAATTTTTATCTGGTCAGTGGTGACATTTCATAAACCTACATATGGCGAAATCAAGTATCCTGATTGGGGAATTGCTGTAGGCTGGAGTCTAATTATTTTCTGCATTATTTGGATTCCAATCATGGCTACCATAAAAATAGTTCAAGCTAAAGGAAACATCTTTCAAGTAAGCACGTGAAAATAAAATTACATTAAAATTTAATTATTTTGAGTACTTTAAGATTATGTCAAATACTTATGATCACAATGATGACATTGCTTACATGGTGGCAAAATTATGAGCATAAACTTTATCACCCTGTCCTCTGAATTACGCTTATGCCCAACACAATCATTTGTTATTATTTAAACAATGTTGCATGTCTTATATGTAGACCATAGGTTCCCAAACTTATTTGATCTGCTCTCCCTTTTCATAAAAAACAGAAACCCACTGCCTGACTCTGGCAATTAAAAACATATGTATTACAGCCCATAATCTAGACACAGTGTAGGTGTCTCCTTTTGCAGCCTATCTGGATCATTCTATCACCCCACAAGGGGCGTTTGTTCCAACTTTGGGAAACACTGAACAGGTACACACTGGTTTAGACCTCACGCAACCCTTACTCTTAGGCTAGGTTGGAAAGGTCTGAAAATGAAGGTGTCGGGAGTGAAGTTGTTGGGCTCACATATTTTCTTTAGAAATAATTTGGCTTACTATTTATATAATTTTATTAACAATATATCAAGGGGATTGACTCCAGGGGGTTGTTTCCCACCCCTTAATCTTCTGCATATACCCAACTCACACATGCTAGTCACATAATTCATAGTATTAGCATATAACCTATCCTTGTATTTGTTTACTCTAAATTGGCTTCAGATTACTGACACTATCTAATAAATGCAAATTCTATGCAAATAACGCATCCACCCCACCCCACTCTCATATTTTAGATTTGGATCTGTGCATGTGAAACCTGCAGAAAGGGAGCGCCAACTATAATCTGTATCTTAGACTTCACTGCATTAATAACAATTTAGATAATCACTTCACTTTTCTGTACCTTCTATTCATTTTTCTTAAGATGTATTTTATCTTTAAAATAAACGTACAGTTTAACCCTTGTTTATACATTGTCACATTTAAATTCATAATCAAACTTTTTTGTTTCTGCTTTTCAGCGTATTGCAAGCTGCTGCAGACCAGCTTCTAACTGGGGTCCATACTTGGAACGACATCGTGGAGAGAGATATAAAAGCATGGTAGATCCTAAAAAAGAAATCGACCATGAAATGCCCACTGTTAGTGGCAGTAGACCACCAGAATGAAAGATTATACAATATATGGTTGTGTAATGCGAGTTTTTGAGTAGAGGAAAAATTTATTTATTTGTATGCTAACTGAGCAGGAGAATGTATATACTATGTTCATAATAATGTGATAGACTTTTTCCCCATTTAAGCAGGAGTATAATATCAAAATGTGAATCTATTCATGTTTAAAATGTGTTTATTATAACTCTTTTTAGATGATCTGCCTGTATCATATGCACATAAACACACAGCAGTCTCTATTTCACAATTGTATGTTTATAATAAGTATTACTAAAATGTTTTTCTAAGACGTTGAAGACTATTTTGAGCAGGTTATTTAGAAGCAGGCCATGTGAGGGTGCTTCAAAAAGCTTGTGGAATTAAACGTAATGGAAAATTCCCATATTTGAGGCTCCCTCATATTGTCTACATTTACATACTGTCTCTTTATTATATTTTTATAGAATGTGCAATAACTTAAAAATATTATTTTCTTATATGTTCTTAAGGCACTGACTTTTTCCATCCCAAAGCTGGGGGAAAAGTAAACCGGTATATTTGAAAGAAAATGTTATAAGCCTGACAATAAGAATCCTTATACATTTGTGGGGAAAAAAACTCCATAGACTATGAAAACTGTAAATTTATACTTTTGATCCAAATGTTTTAAAGTGTCATGCATTTTGTTACTGCTCACTTTTTCTATATGACTAGTGGTTACGTTCTTGACGACAAAGAGTGAAGTAAGACAGAAAATTGAGTCAAAGCCCAACCCAAACCAAACCTACCACTATTGAGTGGAGTCCAACACATTATGTGACCGTAGAGGACAGAGTAAAACAGTTTAGGGTTTTATTTTTCCATTGAAAGTTACGTCAGTCAAAGTGAAAAATCTAGAAAATAGAATCCATAATCATTGACAACTTCTTTCCCCATATATCTTTCCCCTTTAGGTTATATTTGAGAGAGAGAAAAAATAGGACCTACCTATTTTTACTGTATTTAAAAAATTATGGGTAGATTTTTGTGCTCTTTAAAATACAGGTTTTACTAAAAATTGAGCATGGAACAAAATTCCAATTGGGAAATGGCTGTAGTCAAGTAAATGATTATTGGTTGTTTATTAATAATAGGACATGTAGAATGAGTTATCTTATTTAAGTAAGTTACTACTCATATGTGATAACTGATTTACATACTTAAACTATGATAAATAGATCAATATCAAGAATGTCAGAAGCCAGATTAGACAGCCCTAGTTCTTTTATCAAAGAAAATAGAAAATATTACATCATCAATCAATTTACTGAGTATACGTCATTGACAGATTAGGCTTATGAACACTACATAAGGAAGTTAAAAAAAGTCTTATTCACCTAGACTTGAAAGAACATATGATACTGAGATTATATATAGCATTTTCTGTATATATTCATATATTTATTTTTTTCTGGGGAGTCTGTAATTTTTGTCAGAATATCACAGGGACTGTGCATCCTAAAATGATTAAGAAGTACATGTATGGCTGCTGAAATTTTATGGCTGGTAGATGAACGACAATAAAAACGAATTATTTTACACCTTGCTTTCTTTTTCATTTAAAATTCATTTTTTTCTCTTCCTTTTGATTGAAGATTGAATTTATTTCATGCTGAGTATTTCAATTACAGACGGGTAAATTTGTAGAACTGTAACTGAAAGATCTGAATGAGTTGTGTATATGTATGAGGGTATGTAAAAAAAGAGTCATTTTTCTAGAGTTCCAGTTCATACGTTCATGCACTTAATGCAAAGAACACATGTTCATACATGGCCTTGTTACCCATGGATTGCTGCAAATTCAGAACTATACCTGCATTAGTTTTGTTAGGGTACAGTCAACAGATACTTTGTGCTGTGGAAAAAATAATTTTTGGACCAAGGTTACTATCAAATTTTTAACACAACGCAAGTAGACATCTTTTCAAATCACTTCTGCTTGGCAATAAGTTTATGGAGCTACTGCCCCACATAAAAGAACAGCTTGTAGATGGGTTATATTTAAAGGGAGGTTAGAAAGACATCAAAGATGAGTCAAGAGAGGGAAGACCAGCTTCTTTAATGAATGAACAAACTGGCTAAATAACATGTAGAAAACGGTAAACAATGACCATAGACAACATGGTCATTTCTATGGAAGTTGAGCTGCATTGTTTGGCAGTTTCAGTTAGGTGAGCATCTTGGCCTCACCAAGCTTTCTGCCCACTGGATGGCAAAAGTTTTGTAAAGTTCAGCTATCTCCAAGAGCCCATCTTTCCATCAATGTATCAAACATGATTGAAATGATTGAAGAGGAATTAATGCAAAAATCTATAACCAACAACGAGCCTTTATCAATAGAATCATGAGCGATAGGTCCAGAAAACGAGCTTCGGAAGGCATCTGCTGGGCCAGGTAAATTCAAGGGAGAGAGATCATCTAAAAAGTTCTGGTGAATGTTTTCTTTCTTTTAAAAGATTTTTAAAGGGGTAATCTTGATGAAAATTTTCAAAGGATGTATGACAGTCAAACAAAGGATATATGACATTGTGAAGAGTTCTTAAGAAAATTGAAAACTGCACTCATGAGACAAAAGGCCAGGAAAACTGTACTGAAGAATTTGGGCAGAGCTGTCCGAGAACACTGCTTTGGGAAACCATTCATTCTACAACCTTGATCTTGCTCCCTCTAATATTTGTTCCCCAAACTCAAAGAATATTGAAAAGGAACAAGATTTGAGTTGCTTCAGAGGAGTATAGATATAGATGGATGATATTTTGTTGAGAAAGAACAATAGCTTCTCAATTTGAAATTTTACTTTAAAAAATTCCTGATTTTGTAACAATTCTCTTTGACTTCTAGTGTATGTACAGGTATATATATATAATGCATATATATATCCATAGTGAACTCTAAGATTGTTGATTCCTTCTTTTGGATTTTATAATATGATTCACTAATTTTTGGAAAAGTTTTTCTTGAGAAAATTTTAATACTTTACATTAATTTATTCAATGCATGTGAGGGGGACAGTTGCTGAAATTTTTGGCTCATAAAAAATAATGGCAATTTTAATAGATCTCTTTGCACCCATTGATGCGTTAGGTACACTTTTAATGGTAGAATTGTGTGTTCAAGTGAGGGGTGCCACAGAATTGTTCAAATCCTCTACAAGATGTGACCATGAGGAGAAATTTAAGGTGTTTTTTTTTTGTTTATTTGTTTTTAATGTAAGGAGAGGGTGTAACGCACAGCTGCTAACACGTGCCTGCCACATTGTAGGGTCTTCAATGATTGCTGGTATTACAGGGTTGCAGTGTTGCTAAGAAACAATCATTTGCACAATGGAAGGCAGTTCCATCAAATTCCACTTACTTTATTGCCAATTCAGAGCCATTTGTGGTATGGAAAACCATTACAGAGAGGTGTTTTTCATACCCAAGTCAAACTAAAGTCAAGAAAGCTGATGGTACCGGCTATCAAAAGATATATCGTCTGTGGTCTTAAAGGCTTGAAGACAAGCAAGTGGCCATCTAGCTCAGAAGCAACAAAGCCCACATGGAAGAAGCACACCAACCTGTGTTATCACGAGGTGTCGAAGGGATCAGGTATCAGGCA